TTGCGAATAAATAAAATAAATTCAAACTGTTTTCTTGTTTATGTTATCATATCAATTATAGCAGACTATCGTTAATTTACCTAATTTTTGTTACCTGACTTGTACTACAAATACATTTGTGACCTTAGTTTGTGTGAGTGACTTTACATTAATTAATTTTATAAAAGATTACTAGGGAAATGTTGGAATACTTTTAATCGCCTATTATCGTTTCATGTTTATTAATAATAATTTTTAGACATATCGACAATACTAATTAATTTATTATTATTAATTTGGCAGAGGTGGTGATGTTGACCTCTTCACGTATTCAAGAGTATAAAGTTGAAGTTAATATTTAAATGTGTCTTTGAGACATTGCTTAACTTTGTTCATAGAATTAGTTTATGATGAGAGCAAGCTCCTTATTGGAGCAGGAGATATTGGGACGTTCGATTTGTTTACATTCTACAATAATAATCGTGTTATAATGGGTAACTTTAATTTTGACTTATTTCAGTCATTTCGTTCTTTTCACCTCAGTCCGTCCGGCTAAGCGTAACTCCATGCTAAGCCGCTTTAATCTTCAACAGCAACCTTTGTGTCCCATACAGATTACTTTCCGATAGATGAAAATCTTACTTCAGTTAATTATAGTTAAGCAACAATTGCTGACATCATTTATCATTCTCTTTTCTCTGTTTACCTTACTTTGACTTTGCCTAACTAGCTTAGTTGACATGTTGCAACCACAACAACAAAAAAATTATATTACCTTTGCATAAATAAATATAACAGTATCGTATCTGCTTTAAGTCATTGTCGGTTTCCTCTCGCTTATCTATCGGAGAAGTCCGTTAGTACACAGTGTGATTGAACGTGCGTTTTATGATCTACTTGCCACATACCCTATACCGCCTTCATGAAACCATCACGTTTTCACTCTAAGCAGAATAGCATTATAATTTTTGCTAGGCTTTGCGTGAGACATGCATACGAATGAGAACAAGAAACTTGGCTGTATTTGATTCTTGCTAGAGATCCCAGAGACATTAGCTTTTCACAGTCAATTTTCAATATGTTTTTATAGATTCAATTTTACAAAATGATAGCGATCTTTACACTCATATATTTAATGTGTGCTGTATCTTTAACTTAAACTTTTATTTTATCCATCACACATCCATACAACATTACTTTCGATTTGTTCTTAAATATATATATATATATTAATATATATATATTTTTATATATATATTAATAATTTTTAGTTTAAGTTTTATCGCAATCATAACAATTTTTATAAATATTTCTAACACGTGCTGTCCTTACTTTTAAATTTTACTTTGTTCTTTTTCCTCAATTTTTTAAGTGTTCTTTTCATATAATAATACATATATTTTCTTTCGTTTAAGTTTGACAAAAATACATATGCATAACTCGTGTTGTCCTTTTCACTGTGTTATTGAAGAGTCTTAACTTTTCTTCAACAGCTCGCTATTCGTGTTCTCTCGAAACGAAAACGAAATGTTCGCTTTGCTATGTTGTTTCGTGTGTTAGTCTGTCAATGAGTAAGTGAGCATGAATTGGAATAATGGAAAGCAAGTGCATAAAGCAATACTCACCAATTATTCATACAGACGGACTTTTGTTTTTTCATTATTCGATTCTTTTGCTTTCATTATTGAAAATTTTTAAATTATAAAAAGAGTTTTGCTTAGTGATGTTCCGCTATCTCATCGGTCATTGGCTTTTTTTTTTCGACAAGAGTAAAGAGAGACCCATATATATCCCCTACATGTATATTACAAAAAAAGTAACATCTTTCTTGGTCTTTCTATTAAGATTGATTACACTGGCCCTGTTTGTGTTTTCACTAACTACGTTTGAGGGGACCGCAAACAGAATTTCTTAAATGAATTATCTCATGATTTTCTGATGTTTTTTTCTAGAATTATTGTATACCTACGCTCGCTTAGATCTGTAGCGTCTCAACATCTATAAAATTGTGACCTACGCAAATGAACTGAGACTTTTGTGTGTGTTGGAAAAAAACGATTTCTATTCCAAGGTCTTCTCTAAGGCAATCTTCCAAAAAGAAGGAGAAGATTGTCTATAGGAAAATGGGATTGTTGGCAATGATACAAATGTACAGATTGTACAATTTAGATGTGAATGAAATATACAACTATTTCATACAAAGCACACCTTCAAAGTCTATGTATCGACTCTGGAGTTTCCTGACTTTTCGTACGATTGATTCAGTTATTTCTCTACTATCAATGAAGTGGATCTCTCTAAGGCTTTTAACTGACTTAATCGATGGAATTTCTTATAATTGCATTTAGTTTCGATCATTCAGCATATTTTGTGAACATAACATTTACCATGTCACAATTTGCTCAGCATTAGAAAATAGGCAAAATTAGGCTAATATCGAAACGTAGATACTTGTCAGTCTTGGACAATTTCCAAAAGTGTAAAACAGCAAGTCGACCAGGGCAGCTATTCTTCATAATTGTCGGTTTGAATTTTAATCTTTTAATTTTGATTACTGAATTAAGTAGAGAATTTCTGTATTAAGATAAAATCTCCATTCTTATCTATGCGAACAGACGGACCTTTCAACCACTTTTGATAGAGTCTCTCAAGCATTGCTCATTGAGAAGCTCTATTAGGATTTTATGTGCCTCATTAAAGATGTGCCTGTCTAAAGATGTAACGTCTACAGATGAAATTACAAGCGCAATTGTGTGCGCTCGGCTTAAAAAGCTAGAAAGAAAGCTAGCTAAAAACTCAATTAAGGGTCTTATTGTAGGCTATAAGCGTTTGCCGACAGAAAAATGACAGGAAAATCAATTCCATTGCTATGTTACGCGGAAATGATGTACCTGACTATGGTTCATATTAATAATTATAATAATTGATATGTTTGTCATTTTGATTATATTAGAAAAGTATAGTAAGAGTAACCTATAAACGTTAGGAAAATATTCCCTATATCTATACTTTTTTTTTTTTTTTTTTTATTTCGCCTTCTTGGCGTCTTTTTGTTTTCGTTTCGTTTTGTCCATTTGTATAGTAATAGATAGTAGATGTTATGATATGCTCCACAAGAATACTTTACAAGCCTGTTTATGACCTCTATTATAAAAGATTTACTATCCAGAATTATGCCCTAGATTTTAAATATGGTACGATAGTGTCTATTAACTTTAAGTACTGACTTCACCTACAGCAATGATTTTATTTGAAACATTTTTCGGATGTTATTGTTCAAAAAGAAAAAATAGTAAAAAAGCATGCATAGACTATTGGCCTTGCCGTTTAAACTTTATTTATTCTATTCATATATCATCACTTTCGGGTAATCGGGTAAAGAATATTTGCCTAATGGACTGGAAACGCTTCTGCAGCGATCTAAATTACATTATAAGGGTCGCATGAACAAGCATGTTTTCTTCTTCATACTCCTTACATTATTCACTTAAATTTATACTTTTTATATGGTTTGTTTAGGGTGTACAATTTTGCCAACTTGCCTCTAAAATGCCACTGAGACGGTGACAGTAAAGAAAACTAAAAAAAATTTAAAAAAATGAAATTTTCATTTAATGGACAAACAACGAAAAAACTTTCTTCCTTTTGGAAGCAAAAATACTCTGATTTGGTCTTGTGCTTTACTCATAATGTTTGGTCGATTTTATACTGTTTGCTATACTAGCCCGCCTGTAAAAGCTTTCAAGCTTTTTATAAATTTGAATTCCATAGCATGACTTGAGCTCCATATCATGCATTGTCTTTTTTACCAAACATATCCGCCAAGACGGACGAACGAATGAACGGATAGACTATACATAAATGATGATGACCACACACACTTTGTGGACTCATTGAAGACTTCTTCTGCGCTTACTGCTAACGTTTTCACGAAGTTAACGTATTCCCATACTTCGGCGCGGAGTATTCCAAACAATTTACATCCGATTAGGGCATATATCAGATCATAAGTTTTTCATTTCCAGATTTTCCAGGTGAGCTTTTAGAAATTGTAAAAATAAGACGGGGGCGTTGTTCACTCTTTTGTCGTACTGTCAAAGGTCCTATCCAAAAAACCTCACAACAACACAAACGAAATTATTTTGGATATGTGATTCATAATTTAATGAGCAAAGATCTGAAATTTCTTCTCTTGTTAATTCATTTTAAGATCGTTGAGTAAGCTTTAAAAATTTTGAAATCCTCACTAGCGGATTGAAAACCGAAGGAGTTTTTAGGGCGGCACGATCAAACAGGATGAGTTGGTGAAACATGCGTTTATAGGTTATAGTGGACAATTTTGCAGGAATTTTTCGACTATCTGAAATCGGCGATGCCCGCGCTATAAAAAACTGGATTTAATAACTTTTCTACGTGTGGCACACGTGACGTAAGACGTGACAACGTCTTCTCGCGATTGAAAACTTGTGAAAAAAATTTCGAACCCATAGTAGAATACAATTATAATTTCTCTTTGTTATTAGTTAAGGTTTTTGATAATTTTTCACCGGCAATCGGATGCAAAGCCGGTATGACATTACCGATATGAACAGGCTGTATATCTGTGCTTAGCAATATATTAATGAAAAACAAATATATTTTGCAGGGAGATATGTGTTGAGCGGATCGCTATGATCGATAAAATGATGAATTACTTTTCTTAGGATCACTTGATGTTAACCTTCAATTGTTCAAGGAGCAGTAAGCGGCTGTTTATGATTATCGGTCGATTAACCGCATTGTTAAATTGCCCTATCATTAAGGGCAAACCAATAGGATCCGTCTCGGCACTCACTTCATACCGAGATATAATATTGTAGTACATTGTGTTGAAGTACGGAGCAAAATGTTTGATTAAAGAGGAGGAGATAGGTGTTGTGAACGCTTTCACGCATTTAAAAATTGCACATTTCATTCATATGGTCATACGTTCTTAAAGTTTTTGCATTTATGTTACATACAAATATACGTTTATTTTACAGATTTGCATGCAACAATGATTCTAATGCAATTGTGACGAGAATGGGCGAACTGTTTGCTGCATTAAATAAGTGAGTATCCATCGCAAAAGGATATTTATGTTACTGATGGTGATGGTAAATTGATGTGAATATATATAAATACGAACGGGTTGGCAGAAGAAATGGCATTAAGTCATCATAATGAAGCCAATTTCTGGATTAATAATAATGCGAAAAACGAATCACATCAAATTGTAATAATAACGAAAAGGGAAAGAAAAGAAAATGATTCCTCAACCCTGGATAAATTGCTACAAATTCAACTGAAATAATGCTGCAGAAAATTCAATAGGAGCACATATATATATATATATATATATATATATATATATGCATATAAATAGTGCATTCGAGAAACAATCAAAACTTGAACGAAATAACGATAAAAACATTGACCCTTTGCTATGGCGACAACACATATAGAAACAAGGGGGAAAAAGATAACTTATTAAGTTAAAGTAAAATTGGGAAAACAAAAAGGTAAATTTAACAAAATTGAAGAATGGGCCCATGAGGGTAGTAGCAAAAGTGCGATCGATAAATAAACACACAACTAAACAAGAAGAATAAGGAGTTTATTGATAATAAGAAAAGGAGGTCAGGTATTGGGAATACGTACGTATGAGAAATGGCCCAAAATTTCATCTATAAACCTAATTATAGCATAACTGAATTCAATCATCGCACTCAACGGCTACAACTGCAGCAACAGATTCAAAAGCAAATTCTGAAACCTCGAACATATTTAAATACTGATCGTAGTAACATTGTTAGCAATGATAAGCTGCAAGAAAATATTGCGGCAGAATTACACGCTGACGACGACATGTCAGCTGTATATCAGTGCGGACAGCTAACATCTGTTTTTGATAGCATAAAATGGTCACCCCTAGGAAACAATCAAACGAATGACAGCAACATTAAAAATACCTCGAATACATCGATTCTGTCAATCAAACACTGTGCTCATACTACCGTTTATTTGGATATCCCAAGACCCCCGTCAATACCAACGGCGTCATTAATAAGGAATACACCGCCGTCATTACTATTATCACGATTGTCCCCAAATTATTATTCAACATGTTGCTCGCTCACTTACAATATGTTTGCTGCCTATGCCGAAGCTGTCACTCTGCAAATGAAGTGTAAAACACATTTTAATAGATTGTTACACGTAGGTGGTCATCTCGATATGCGTAGTTTACGTTATCTGATACTAATGGTATTGGTTTATTGGAGTGTACTCACACATGTAGCCGTTGCCACAAATGTCACAACAACTACTACTACTACTACTACTACTACTACTACTACTACTACTACTGCACAGCCTTTCCTGTTACCATTATTACCATCACTTACATCACACAATGACTCATTTGTGCAACAAAGCTTAACGGCATTCGATAGTCAGCACGTAAGTTCATTACGCAACTTTACGTTCACGTTCACAGTTTCGGGTACGATGTCAACTAGTTTATCTAATCAAACATCGAAATCATTAATAACATATGATGCCTCTATGAATAATTTTGCATTCAATATGCGTTCATTAACGCGTCGTGATGCCGCCAATGTGCCTGATCCTGATGCTGAAGATGATGATTCCAGCTATCACGATGAAGAATTCGATGAGTATGAGGCCCTTATTCATAATAAATCTGGTAAGTTTATCAATTAAACAAAGTAGCACGCGCGCACACCATTCCCAAGCTATAGACAGTTGTAAAATTGATTTGAGTGAAAGGCACCGGGGTGCAAGCGTTGAAAAAGTGGAAGAAATGCGGTACGCTTCGAACGTTTTTTATTCATTTCGAAGCGATTAAGGTAGGTAGGTAAGTTAATCCGCTTTAAGAAGGCGACTTGGCCTTCGCGCTTTTATGAAATGCTATTGTGTGTGCGCGGAAAGCAAAATATGTACAAATTGTTCATAGATCGATCATAGCGGATGGATGCGAGGAATGAATATTCATTTTCTAGATTTTAGATTGACTTGACTCAAAGCTCAAAAAGTGTATGTGATTGATTTTATTATGAATTTCCTAATAGTGCTTTAAAGGCGAAGAAAATTCAAGTCTATAGCGAAAGTAATATCAGTATATACGGTACATGGACATGAGCCAATAACAAACATACTTATGATGTCACTGTCATCATTAAATCACTACAGTGCAGCGAACATACGGCGAGAATTTTTTTTATTTTTTTTTTAGTATACAATTAACATACCAACAATACGTGCGGTTTTAACTTTTTAACTTTACATATTTACCGGCAGAGAATGAGTGAACGCATATATATTGTGTGCATACTAGTGGCACTTGGATGAATGTATAGTATAGCTATGACAAGGTTCTTATTGTGGGTTTCTCCTTTTTTTTTATTGACTAGTGCCATAAAACCACAGCCCTTTTACTTATCGCTTTTCCTTTTTTTTGCTTTTGGTTGCTGGAGTAAAATTTATGGCAAAACGAAAACACAAAAAAAAAAAAGAAAAAAGAAAATGTTTTAAAAACAAAGGCAAAAACAAAAACTAAGCAATTGTCACTGAGAATATGAAAATGTAATATGCATGGATGTGATAAATAAATTTTGGGGGGATTACATAAATGCATGTAAATCTTAGTAAAACATATCGTTGAAAAGGTCAAGGAATTTAAGTAATATTCAAATACTTTGCTTACATTTTCCTTTAGCCCCTTTCCAGCGGGAGGGGCTGGATTAGGCAGAATTGAAAACATTGGCCATTGTACGTAGGTTGTTTGCTCTTGTATTCGGTGTTGGCACACCGTTAATACAATAGATTAGGTTTTAAATAGAATCATTGTAATGCTGATCACCATCCAGATGCAAAATAGTGGTTTTCCGTTCAAGAAGATAGAAGAATGGGAAACTTATGCAAAATGGACAAAAATAATTTTAAAAAATTTTAAAAAAATTGCTAAAGAAATTTTCTTTTTATTTTTCGTTTTTTTTTTTTTTTTTTTTTTAGCCAAAGGTAAATATATAGGTGCTCCGTGCAATAATATGAAGTGTGAAACGTCTTTAGTACATGTCACCTGCGAGAAGGAGACATTAACTTGCGGCTGTGAAAAAAATTATCCCGTGCAACTTGGTTTAACCAGGGGATGCGATAAACGTAAGTTCTCTTCCAATTTAATAATAGAACTTTTCATTCCATTTCTCTTATATTAATTATGTTTCCCGATCGAGTAGCAAAAAAATTGGGCGAACAATGTTTTTATGACGAAACATGTCAATACAATGACGAGAATTCCCTCTGTGTTCAGGTGCGACATAATGCATTGTGTCAGTGTGCCTCCGGTTTTCATTCGGTCAGCTATACGAAACCAACCCGTCGAGTGTTTTGTACGCAAGGTAAATATCGAACAACGGAGTATATATATATATATATGTACCTGATTGTTATTACTGAATTGCCGTGTATGTGTTAATCACCGTTTTCTCGATTTTTACTTTCTATACGCAGATCTCGACGAATTGAACTCTGATTTGCCCACACTGCTGGGCGTCTGTCTGGGCATTGGGGTCTTGGCCGGCCTAATATGCATGGTATTGCATCTGTTTAGTAAAACAAAATATCCACGTCATCGAAATTTCGGTGACGCCAATTTACCGCCACCAATTATGTATTCAAGTGAAACAGGTAAAAGCTATTGTTGCTCAAAATACTGTCTATTTCAAGTGTGTAAAAGGCAGTGATGGCTTTGTTATTTGGTTTTTGGAATCTGATATGCCTTCACATTTACCAGGTATACTGTCGACAGTGCAATCTGGTCGTCCATCTTCGCGTTCGAGTATACGTTCTAGTGGTGGTTCTGTCGGTTCCTATGGCAATCGTCGCACATCCTCTGTCGGTGGTACAACTGGTACTGGGGCTTCGAAAGGCATATTGGTCTCGACTTCACGCACAGGTGCGGCTAGATCGGCCGCCATATTGCTTATATCGTGTCACTTGTCAGCCATTTCCAAACAAAATTCACGCGTCTCATCGCGTCAAACTTCCGGTGCCGGCTGTAGTGCAAACTCACGCGATAATCTCGACGAGAACGGTTCCAATCCGGACAGTCGAAGTTGCGATAGCACGCTCTCAATGACGCGTCATCTTCAAAAGCAATTGAATCATCAGCGTCATCTACTCAGTTTCGAACTATCGCCGGCAAAAACCAAAAATCACGATAGAGTTAGAGCGTTGTTGGGCTTGAATGGAATTGATAATTATAGAACCGATGACGATGATTTCAATAGTTTAGAAAATGGTGGTGGTAATCACTTAGAAATTGGTGCTCTACCCACACCGGCCAGTGAAACGCCCTGTTTTGCGGTAAAACTCCTTGACAAAACTAAACTAAACCAGTTAAACAAACAAATTTCAATATACTGCCCGCATCAAACATACAAACAGAATACGGAAAAGAAAAGAAAACAACATGAACAACAACAACACACGACACTCCACTTTTTAATGAAATTTGCGACATAAACGTTAAAATTTTTACACATAACGTAACATATATACGTCTAAATTGCTCAACATTTCGTCTGTTGAACTCAAAAATTGCTCTTATGTCAGCGTCTCTCCTCGTATATACAATTCGTCTGTTGCCTATTTTATTTCGGTCTCATATTTAGTTTCACAGAGATCCAAAAATGACTTGAGTTGTCCTTGTAGGTCATATTTAACTTGTCGTTTATTTTATACCAAAAGCAATTAATTAACAAGACCGTCCAACATTTTTCAACCTACGAAATTATTACAGACTTTTTGGGTTTCTGTTATCAATAGCTCTAGTAACGCTAGTTAGTTAATTAGCAGTAAATCGACGGCTTGCTCTTTCATTCTCATCATTACTATAGACAAAAGATCCTATTAATAGTTTCTTAATACGACGTCACATTCTCTTAAAGGTTTACAAAGCCAGAGCAGATAGATAGATAGATAGATAGATAGATAGTGTTTTTAAGTGAATATGCGCTATGATTTACCGATAAATGTGTATGGACAAAAAAAGCAAACAGTAGCTACGTAAAACGATAAGATTTGTTTTCTTTACTATTGTAAAATATTCGAGAACATAGATCGGCCGGTCGGCGGGTCAAAATCAATCAAAATGACCGTATTAAAGAGACTTTTGGGTTAGAGATTTTCGTATTAAAAAGGTCTTCTAGTAAATGACAAAGTATAATTTATACAGAAGAACATAATTACAAACACAGTTGAATGAACTTTATTTATATAACCGTTCTTTTCGATATCAATGGCTCCCCTGATGTTATTGCATTTTTTATGTATATATATATATAAAGATTTGTGTATATAACATCCATGATGATCGAACTAAATTTTTGTTCATAGTATCTATTTACAATCCTTTTATACCCACCACTGTAAGAAGGGGGTATAATCATATTTTTCATAACATATATAACATAACAAAAGGAAGCTTCAGAGACGCTATTAAGTATATTTTAGGTTGGGGAAAACGAAATCCATTATTTTTTCGGTAGATGGATGCACTGATAGATTTCTCGTAAAGTATCGATCAAACTATTTCAGATTTATGCTCGTTGGAAAGGTGACATTTCGCAGTAAAAAAAATTTTTTTGCTGTTTTTTGTTTGGTGCATTCAGTTGTGAGTTACAGCGTGTTAAAAATGGAAGTGAACAAAGAGAAAATTCGGTACATTTTACAGTTTTCCTTTGACAAAGGCGAACATGCAAGCCGGCAAGGCGGCTAAAATGGTGAATGGTGTTTATGGTTCCGATACTGTAACAGCCAATTATGTGCAATTTTGGTTTCGTAGATTCCGTTCAGGAATTATTGATGTTAAAGATGCACCTCGCACAGGTAGGCCGGTCTTCGAAAATGTCGATAAAATCGGAGAAATGATCGAAGTTGACCGGCATGTTAGCAGTCGTAACATCGCCCAGGAGCTAAAAATCGACCATAAAACAGTTTTAAACCATTTACGCAAAGCTGGATTCAAAACGAAGCTCGATATTTGGGTGCCACACCAATTAACAGAGAAAAACATGATGGATCGAATTTCCATCTGCGAAGCCTTGGCCAAACGGAATGAGATAGACCCATTTCTTAAACGGATGGTGACTGGAGATGAGAAATGGATCACATACGATAACCCTGTGCGAAAACGATCGTGGTCAAAGAGCGGTGAAGCACCTCAAACGGCCAGGAAGGTTTTGCTATGCATTTGGTGGGACTGGAAGGGGATTATTTATTATGAGTTGCTTCCATATGGCCAAACGCTAAATTCTGATCTCTACTGTCAACAACTGGACCGTTTGAAGATAGCGATTGACCAGAAACGGCCAGAATTGGCCAACAGGAGAGGTGTCGTGTTCTACCAGGACAACGCTAGGCCACACACATCTACAGTGACTCGCCAGAAACTTCGGGAGCTTGGTTGGGAAGTTTTAATTCATCCGCCATACAGTCCGGACTTGGCACCAAGCGATTATCATCCTTTTCTTGCATTGCAAAATTTCTTTAATGATAAAAAATTGGAATCTAGGGAGGATTGTGAAAATCGTCTACTAGAGTTTTTTGCAAATAGAGACCAGGACTTCTATGAGAGAGGCATTTTGAAATGGCAACAAATCATACAACAAAACGGTGCATATTTGACCCAAATCGGACAATCCGAAGCATGTTAAATAAACTCTTGAAGTGCATATAAAAATAATGGATTTTTTTTCCCCCAAACTAATATATTCTTGTTCAGGGTGAAATGTTGAGTTGATTAAGTCATGTCTATCCGTGTGTGCGGTGTATGTTGCTGGCACTCTCCTAGTCGCAAAAATGAAGATATCATCTTTAAATTTGATAGAAACATTGGAAATTTGTTCAGGCAGGTTGATATTGAAAATGGACCAAATTAATCCGAGCGGAAGCGCGCAGTGGAGCGTTAACTGAACGCAACTCCCTTTTTTTAACAAAAATTTTTCAATATTTTCTCTTTAATTGGAAATTATTGAAGTCTGAAATTTTCCACATTTACTTTACGAACACACTCTACTGTCTACGTTCAAAAATAAAAGCGATCGACCATGCCCACACAAAGTGACGAGTAAATAAATTTTATTTTTTTCACTTTTTTGAAGATTTTTGAAGCATACTTATGGTAAGACAAACAAGACCAAATGTTTAAAGCTATTTTGTACATTCATCAAATTAAGATTTTTTTGATCTGCCTAAAAATGGGTTAATTTTAAAATGAATACGGTAGGCACCGCGACCTGGTGGATTAATTTTTTCTTAATAGTACCAGCGATATGGGTATCAAATAAAAGAACTTGGAGAGTAGAATGCGAAAAGTGTAGTGGTGGTGGGTGTGCGAGATTCCGTCTCACCGAATATAACTTTCTTACTTGTTTATTCTTAAAATGTTTGTGTCATGTTTATTTTTATAATTTTTTTTTATATTACACTTTAATAAGTGAGTTAGATGAAGATAAAAATTATTTTTTAAAATATAATTTTTTTTTAATAATGAAAAATTTCTCTAAATTTTTTTGATCTGAAAATTTTCACTGAATTTTGTTCAAGCATTTGGCGAGCATAGATTTCGTATTCGTTAGGATGGAATGAATGATGAAAGGAAAACAAATTATATTTGCTACGTTCATATCTGCTATTTGTTAGTTTTTGCGTATATGCACTTATACGTAGACCATAACGCAATATATATTTGGAAATACGGAATTGTATAAGCTTCTGCTTTGAAATCGTTTGAGAGAATGTGGCGACATATTAAGAAACTATTAATAGAATCTTTGTCCATACAAATAATATAACTGAGGGAGCAAGTTGTCAAATTGCTGCTAGTTAACAGTGTTACTACACACGCCACACACAACAGACGCATTCAAAAAGTCCGTAATAATCTCCTGGTTTCAATTTTGAACAAAATGTTCGAGTGTCTTCTCATTTAGTTGTCTGCGATTATACGCATCGGGTCAAGACAGATTGGCATATACTTTCGAGGAAACCCTCTCTTTCCCTCTATTTGAACCGTTTTTCAAAATTGATATCGAAAACCGAAAATACTTTGTGTTGATATAACCGAATACCAAATTCTTCAATTTATTTATATTGGTAATGACGATAACGGGTTTTGCTCAGGTATTGTTAGCCAATTCCTTCTAATGCCTAATAAAGGGAAAAATTTCTGAATGTTAGGCAATTTCATAAAATCGAAATTATATTGAGGACTGCACTACAGATGTAACGAAGAAAAACAACTGCTGCTTCACTTGAAAGAACATCGAACCAAGCTTCGAAACAGATTGTTATATAGATGAGAATGAATGCCCGCCTCGGGCATTTGTAATATTTTGTATTTTTTCTTGAATATCAGATTTTACTGAGACGTCTTACAAATACAAACTTGAATATGAGAGGAAAAGAGAAAACCCAGCAAAATGCCTATTAATGTTGGGCTTTCACAAATTCGATAAGAACGACACAAGCACAAGCAAAATAACATTTTCTTTCATTGTTATAAAATTTACAAACTGGTGGATATATAAGTGATCAGTTCTGCGAATAAAAGCACTACCTTTTTAGTGGTTATAGTGTGTTTCTTTTAATATTATTTTATATACCTCAAGTCCAAGAAAGCCTTGCTCTTATCCTATTCGAGAAGAATACAACATATCGATGAATATATTGCGCGATTAAGTAGCCAGAAATAGTTTGTTTTTTTTTTTTTTTTGCGCTAAATTTCTCCTCCTCTTCCTTCACTTCTCCGTCAGTTTTTTTAAAAGCAATTTTAACGCTCATCTGACATTTATCGTTAGATCTTTTTGTACCTTAACTTTAGGCAGACAATGGATATTTAAACCTCACTATGTCAAACGATATTACTGTATAGAAAATAGAAAGATACTGATAATACTGATTTTTTTGAGCCATCCACCCAAGTCACATGTAACTTGTTGATTTCTCAAAATTAATTGCAACATATGACAGAAGTGCAACCAATTCGATTATAGCTTAAGTTATTCTGAATTATTTGTAAAAAGTTCCAAATATTTGTACTAGGAATGATGTTACAAATGTTGGGAATATTAATGCTAATTGAAACACGAAATAATACATATATTTCCGCTCTCGGTGACGTCTATTCGTTACGCGTATTTTGTCAGAAACCAAAAATGCAGCATTGACTGCTTTTGCAGTAAGCAAAATTAAACATTAAACAAGTAAGAATATTACATTCGATCGGGACCGAACCCCGGACCCTGTTTATACCCATCAACAGCTAAAGAAACGAAAAGAATTAAATTTTCATACTCTATAAGAGTGGGCCGACTTGCCTGATTTTTCGCTATTTTTCTGTAATAAAAGGCGAAATTTATTTATATGGTTTACGTCTTTACGTACCTAATAGCAACAAGCAAAGCACACGGAAAGCAAAGCTGTTCATAGTTTTTGTTGCATAAGCGTGCGTACGTTATAGGCGCTTCATTTAACCGGTTTGGATCACTTTCAATTTTTCTTTGCAAATTTCTAAGCGATATCTTAATTTTTGCAAATGGGAAAATGCTTACCACAGATACTATACAGTTGGGCAAACGGACAGACGGACAGACGAACAGACGAGAAGATAGGCATGCAGAATTTGAAACGGGCCAAGAATTTATATACTCTATGGGGTTTTTCAAGCAATAAAACAATTCTTTATACCTTTTGGAAAACGCAGGTGTCCTCCAATACCAACGGCTTCATTTTTGCGGACAAGAAAATGGTCACAGCAGACATTATACAGACGGACAACGGGACGTAGTTAACTCGATTCACAATTTTGATGCTGATCAAGAATATATACATGATTTGTGTGGTCCCTGAATCTTCTTTGACAAAATGAATATACCCTTGGGTATAATGGCGGTATGTTAAGAAGTACATTATGCTCATCACAATAAGAAAATACGTAAGATATTTTTTCAATCGATCAAATCAGAATCATTTTCCCTGCTGTCTGTCTGTTTATCCGTCTGTTCAGGTTACTTTTTTTTTTAATCCTTCCACTTGTCATTTTATTTATTTGTTTTTTATATCAAACATGCAAGTGCCAAAGTTAAACATTAACTTGTAAAAGAAGTTTTATTGTCATTTCAATCTTTAACTTGATTACGACAGCAACCTTGTGAATCTATTGAAGTGTTTTAGGTCTATGAAGTATATTAGGGGCAATAATGGAGATATAACTAAAATGATATAAGTTTTTTTATTACTCTAACACTAATTTATCGAGTCAATGATTACTTCTTTGACTTAATGAATTCACTGCACTTAGACGAGTAGATCTTATCTTATTTTTGCAAATCCCTTTTAAAGTGATTTATATTTACGCGTCCATTGAATTTGAACTCAATACTATTATCTGCATTCCTTTGGCCGGTGTAAATTAATGCAAATTGTTCAATTGTAATGAGAAACATGTTGCAGCATTTGCAACAAACTAGCAGTTTTTAGCAATTTTTATACCCATCATCGAAAGAGGTGGGTT